AAATAAATAAATTAAACCACAATAGGATACATGATAGTTAAAAAAGGTAGGGGGGAGACCTATCCCAGGTCAAAAGTAATTTTTAATTGGATATCAGGACTGAACCTAGGCTTTAGTACAGTGTTATATGCTCAGCGTTTTTTAAAAAGTTTTTTTTTGACCCAGAGTCTAAGACAGTAAATTACCCAGGCTGGGATGGAATTTGCAATCCTCCTGCTTCAGGCTCCCAGACAGTATGCACCAAGGGTGCACCATCATGCCTGGCTTCAAAAGTATATGGAAAGAACATGAGGGATTCCTTTGGGCTTGCATTGCCTTGGCAGGCAGCCCTGTGGGCCTTGCTGGATCTTGTGGTTCTGTGACTGGTTCCTTTGCAAAGCTGTGCTTCAGAACAGGATGTGAGGACATGCATCACTCAGCAGCCAGCACCTAGGGAGGGTGGGGTGGAGGAGGCCAGCAAGACAAGTAGCAGAAAAGGTATCCTCCATCTTTGGTTTGGGGACCAGGGGCACTGCCTGAGGCTCTGAGCTGGAGGCAGTGCAGCAGGAAGTGGCAGGTCCACTGACACAGCGGCTGACTGCAGAAGTTATCCGTCAAAAGAAAGAGCCAGAGGTGTTTGGGAAGGAGAGGAAGCCTCTCCTGTCCTCTCAAGCTCCCAGTAGTGAGGTGCATACAAAGCCCCTGGCACATGGTAGTGTTCAGTGCAGCCAAGAGACAATTGAGCACATAGCATGTGTCAGTAGGCTCTGTGTACTGCACGTTCAGTCTGGTCCATCCCATCAGCTTGCATGAATGTAGAAATACCACTATCTTACCAGGAGGGGCTCACTACCTTGCTAACAAAGGTCACACAATTGCTGTATATGAACCCCAGCAATCTAGTTTCAGTGTAGTCATGAAAATAATTTCCAAAGGAACAGTGGAGCTGTCCGGTGTGGTGTGGGGATAAGAGGAAGAACATAAAATGACACTTTGGAGAAACGAGTGCAGCATCTTTTAATTTTGTACCTAAAGAATTCACCCCAGCCAAAGGTACGCTCTGTGTACTTACTTTGTGTGTGTGCACTGCTTTAAATCTCCTGGAGAGTCTTTGGGTGCTACTGGTCCACGGGGCTGGAGAGGGGAGTGCAAGCATTGCTGGTTGTCATGATGTTGGCAGGATGGGTGGTGGGCAAGCTGCGAGCAGCCCGAGCCGTGTCTCGGGTGCATGTCTGTCTTCCGTCTCTGCGGGCACAGCTCAGATGCAGCAGCTTCCTCAGGCTCCAGTTTTTTAAGAGCTCTGGCTTGAAGCAGTTCCATTTGGGAGAGTTTCTCCCTAGCATTTGGTATGGAATTATTACCAAATGCTAGAGAGGAACCCTGCCAAATGCTGTATATCAGCTAAAACCCAAACTCCTAAACAATGAAATATTTATAATAGAAACAAACTCCAGAGAGAGGCTCGGAGTAGGGTGCTCAGCTGTGGGGAAGCTCTTGGCTAAGGTGCCCCAGCTTGGACTTGCTGGCTGGGCCAGGTGTAGCTACCAAGACAGCAGGTGCCAGGTGGTGTGAGGTGCAGCTGGGAGAGGCCTTTCTTGGGAAGAAAAGAGGCCGTAGGTCTAGCAGATCTCCGCAGAGGCCCAGAAGACAGAGGAAACTTGTCCTCCCTGGAGTCTCTGATCCCTGCTTCCTTGTCCCGAGCCCTGCATTCAGTAAGCACTCCATAAGTGCTGACCGCCCACAAGCATGGCCACTTCCAGGAAAAGCAAAACCTCACCCAGCTGGAACCCACAGGGAATGGGATCCAGACAGCTGCTTTTTCCAGAGACAGCCATCAATTATGTTCCTGTAACATTTTCAGATGGAAATATTTCTAAGATGCAGCGCACATTTTCTTTCTTTCTTACTTGGAGAAAGTGGAACACCATTAACCTTTCTGTAATGGCTCAGGGTTGCTGCTGTGAACCTCAGATGTGGAGCGGGAGGTAATACAGCCCTCGGGGCTCGTGAGGTGTGCAGGGGTATCTGCCCTCCGCTAATGGCCTCTGTTCGCGGTGCTTCTTTCAGACGTCAGTCTGTTTCCTGGAGATTTTGGGGGGCTCTTTCACTATCAGGCCTACGGTTTTTGCTCTTGTCAAGTGTGGCTGTCTCTCTCTTCCCAAATTATCATTGCTAATTGGCTGTGGACCAGAAAGCAGAACTCCAGGCTTATTGCGATTACGTGTAAAGTAAGCTTTCCTATGCTTTACTGGAGCATTTCCGAGGCCTGAGCGAAGTGCAAGAACTCCCGGCTGTGCACAGTCTCTCTTCTGACTACTACTCCAAGTCATTCTTGCATTTCTGCTTAATTCCCAGCCTTATCACAGAAAAACTCACTTGGAAAGTCTCTGCCCCTCAGCAAAGACACACAGGAGTATCTTGAAAACATGGACCACCCATCTCTATTTTGCTTTTTTTTTTTTTTGAAGACAGTGTCTCACTATGTAGTTCAACCTGGCCTCAAACTCACTACCTAGCCCAGACGGGCCTCAAACTCATAGCAATCCTCCTGCCCCTGCCTCCCAAGTCTTGGAGTTACAGGGGTGTACCACCAAGCCTGGCTTGTGCGTTTTGAAATCCTCGGGAACACAAGTTTGCTCACCACTTCAAAAGAGCTACACTTCTTAGCATCTTCGTGTTGGAGCAACAAGAAAAAAAGCATGCAGCCGTTTACTTTTTCATTTGGAGGACAAGAAGATGAGGCCTGCAAGAAACTGCAGAGAACAGGTTATACAATTGGTCTCACCAGTAAGAGGGTGTTACGGTTACAGCCAGAACAAGTCTGCATCTTTGTAGGGAAAGGATGCATCCTGAGAAAAACAAAGAGAGCACAGGAAGTGGACGTCAATGCAGAAGGTGTGCACAGAGGTGTGTGCAGGAACTGGCAATGGGAAAGCCATTACCCACCCTGCACCCTTGACAGTGAGCACAGGGACTCCATACATGGAGGGGGAGAGACTAGAACTCCTGGGGTCCTTTCACAGAGGGACAGTCTTCAGGAGTGGTCCTTCCCTAGAGGGACAATCCCTAAGCATGGTGACATAGTGAGAGAAGTTCAGACACCATACCTTAGCTTGCTGGGAGGCAGGTAGGGGACCCCAAGCCATCTTTCCTGTAACTCTACAGATTTAGCCAGTGGCTTCCTTGCTGGACTGACCCTGAAGCAGAAGAACAAGGGAGCAGGGGCACGAATCTATAGGCAGTTTAGAGGTCGCCTCCTGGGTGCCACACAGGGAGGACAAGGAGGGACAATTGATGAGAAATGTGAATGGGAGAACCTTGCTTGGAGCCTGTTGTGAGCTAGGTTGTCAGCCAGCAGTACGGTTCAGGTGCATTCTTGAGGCTCCCTTCTCTACCTATAGGAGGCCTGTGAGTTGACATTCTGTCTACTGCTAAGGACGCAGAGAAGCTGAGACCCTGCCCCCAGAAGTCTCCTAACTTAATGCTAACAGTCAGGGTGAGGTGGCACAGTGGAGCCAGCACAAGCACTGTGGAGCGCTCCTTGAGGCCAGGCATAGAGCTAGATGTACACCCAGGCCCTCTGGGTTGTGCACAAGGCTATTCTCCCTCCCCTGCCCCTGCAAATCCCAGCCTTCTTTCCGGTACTCATATCTCAGACCCACTCTTCGAAGCTATATAGAAGCCTGGCCACTCCCTCTTTCCCTCAGTAAAACTGCCTCTCACTGGCCCCTGACTACACTCCTAAGGCTGAGGACTTGGGCTCTTAATTTTGTCTTTCTACACCTGAATTGTAACTTATTTCTAGGTGTGAGTCGGACCCTTAAGAGTAATCCTAAAAAAAATGTATCCTTTTAGGAATCACCTTCCAGAATGTCAGTTCTGATGTGATGCATTTTGTAACAAAATGGCAAGTGTTCTGGCATGTGGTGGGAAAGATGGTGACAGTGTCTACCTGGCAAACGTTTTGTCTTGTGTTGGGTCTATCTAGCTGTGCTAGGGCTGCTGGGTACTGGGCGACCTTGCTTTGTTTCGGAAGAGTGGTATGGTGACTTTTTTCCTCCTGTCCTTTTAGGTTTGGAACTTCTCACTGGGTCAGGAACATCCAAGCAGCCGAAATGCATCTTCTATTATGAGAAAATGCTTTGTTTCTCATAGAATTCACAGAGAAGTCCTGGCACGTTGGAGCAGAAACATCTCAAGATATTGATATGTTGCCCTTAGCTTAGAATGCTGCATTTGGCTTGCTAGGTGCCTGGGTAGATTTTGTGCTAAATGGTTTGTAGTTTCAGCACTGAGGCCATAGCAGCAGACCACTGCTTGTCCAGGTGGTATAGTGGGGATTTGGTGTTTAGGGGAGGCAGTCAGACTATGATTTTGTTGTTGTTGTTATGGTTGTGGCTGTTAACTACTAGCTATCTAGTAATTTCATTGATGTGTTCTTTGGAGAATTGGACATTACTTACATTAACAGTTATATATCCACCAACCAACTTCAGGAAGGCCAACTTCCTGCTGCATTTGTGAAAAGATGAATAAGTGATTCATAAAATATCTGTCCATGTCCACCAGGCATTCCATAGACATTAGAGAAGACAGGTGAAAGGCTAGAGTTAGCCCAGATTAACTGTGACTCTAGTGTTGTTTGTGTTTTAAAATGTGTGACCTGTATATGTTTATTGCAAAAGAGGAAGAGCAGTTCCTGGTGATCAGATTAATTCTGCCTTCCCAGGAAAACCACTAGTGACCACGGTTAGGTGAGGGGGTGAGGACCGTCCTGGATCCACTGGTCCAGATCTGATATCCTGAATATTTTACCAATGTGAAGTGCACTGCACACAGTGAGCTGAGCCTCTGTTTCTATTAAGAACAAGTGGATGCCTTCGCAGAGAGAACTGCTCACAAGAAACTGGGGCTGAGGCTGGGAGACAGGGGTGGGGCCAAGCACCCGAGGCTTGCAGAGCATGCAGGAAGCAGAATGGCACCAAAACGTCCTCACAGCCCTGAACAGCGAAACCCAAAGATTGCAACGCTTAAAGTCTTTTTTTTAATGAAAAGCAAAATGTGCATAAAACATTTATACATCATGGATATGAATAGAAAATGCCTACTTTGTACCAGGTATTGTGCTAAGTGCCAATCCACACAGTTCCCTAAATGTGCTGATGAAGCAGGGATTCATCCAGTAGATGAGGTTAACGTGTGGGAGGAGGTACACAACTTGTCTGAGATCATACAGCTTGGATTTGAACCAAGGGATCTGGCCCTCGAACGCATAGTTGCTTGTCCATGGTACATCTCTGTCTTCTGTTCCTGGATCAATGGAAAAGTCACTTCTAATGGCAGTCATAACTCTGAAAGTGAGTAAGGAGCTGTTGTTAGAGGAGGGAGGAATCTAGGAGCAAAACTTCAGAGTAGGCAGCAGGCAGGGGTTGGACCAGGTTCCTGCCACGAGGCTCTTTCACCATTACAGGCTGGAACTGTCCTTCCCCTAGATGCAATGTGTCTAGAAAGCCAGACACATTGTTTCCTTTTACCTCAAGAAGCTTCTATTTATTCCCTTCCCCAAGACTGAGAGGTAGCCTAGGTTTCCCCAGAGCTGAAGAGTGAGTCAACCTGCTGACTTGTAACACCAGCAGAATCAGATGGCCAGTTCCTTCGCAATCAATGTGGCTGACTGTAAGACAAGCCCTAAAGCCATAAAGAAGCCAAAGGAGGAAGATAGTGTGTGGGAAGAACAGGCGGGCATATGCTTTTACAAAGGAAGTTGACAGTGCCTATCAGGAGCCTCCAAAAGTCTCCATTCGCACTGACACAATATTTTACTTCCATCAACAGATCCTGAGCAAACACACAGATGCAAACAAAGGTTTAATCATGAAAATGTTGGTGCCAATACTTTTAAGAAGACAACAACAAAAAAATTAGAAACAATTTTGATGCTCCAAAATAAGAGATTGTTTAAATAAATTATGTTGCATCCATTTGATAGAACATCATGTAGCCATAAAATCATGTTTTCAAAGAATATTTAATGACGTAGAGAAATACCTTGCTACAAGGTTAGAGAACAAAAGCAGGACACAAAATTGTTTATATGAATTGATTCAAAGTTGGTAAAAAAAATTGGCATGCACAGAAAATGCTTGGGAGGAAAAACACAAAATGCTATCAGGACGAGATGAAGGGAGATAGAATCATCTTTGTGTATTTTATGTTTTCTCCCTGTTCTTCAAGGGTTGTTTAATATTAGAGGAAAATGTCTATTAATTTTTAAAGGTTGTGACTAATTTCTAGTGGTGGAAACTCACTTTTGGCAATGCTTTTCATATATGTATAAATGAATACATGTATTCACTTATGTAACTAGCCAATAAAGGGAAAAGGCTTCAAACAGTGCCTGGGACATAGTAAGAGTTATTTATTGTTAGGTATGATTAATTAATTTCTTGATTAGCTCTGTCAATGTTTCCTAATGTCTTGTATTGTGCTGGGCTAGGTCTGAGGTCTCACCATCACTCAAGCTTGGGGTCTGCCTTCTAGGGACCTCTGAACTATGTGCCTAGATTGGGCTTTTATCACAAAGACAAAGGTAGCACCATGACAAAATGGCTAGAGCCAAAGGAAGCCTGAAGAGTGGGGCTTTCAGAGTCAGAGGAAGCCTGCCTGATCTGGGGTGGACAAAACTGCATCTCAACTGCTCAACTCATTTGCCCTCAGTCCCCAGCGTGGTTCCATATTTAGGGTGTTCATGTCCTCAGGTAGCAGCAGACTCCGGGGGCCACATTCCCACCCCTTCCTTCCCATAAATCCTTGAATGCAGGTACAGATACACCTGCTGGAGACTTTCCGGGGATTCTAGGTGGCCCCTTCCAGCTACACTGCCCGTATCGTCCGCAGTGAATATCTGATTCAACTTGGCTTCTCTCTTGGAATCTGGTACCATCGATAGGCTCTTGATCCTCAGCATATACCTATTCCTCTGCCTCAGTTCTTTCCTTTCTGTTTCTCTAAATCCGTCAGACCAACTCAGCCCTTGGTGAAAACAATCTCCATAGTAAAGATTCTTCCCCAGACTCCTGGTCTACCTTCCACTTGACCTCCATGGTCTGTCTCCTGCGCAGGCCCAGGGAGGGTTTGCTATCTTGGCACAGGCATCTCAGGTAGTGGCCAGAGTCAATGGACATGCTTTTGCCTTAACTTAGTTATTTTTACATGATTCCTAGTTGCTTCCTTGTGGAGCAATATTGCCTAGAAGATGATGAAGGTCAATGTTTATATAAGTAAACCCTGGAGATCATTCTTAGTGATTCTGTTTGACCTCTAGGGCGAGGCTGCATCCATAAGCTAAAGGCTAACTATAACTTTTCCTGAAAAATGTTCTATTCCCAACATTTGGTCTTTATTTCTAGTGACAAACTTTGCACCTCTTCATCAGGTAAATTTTGACTAAAAATTGGGGCTTTGGGAAAATAGAGGCAGAGAAGTGACTGCATGCTGCATGGTGAATTAGTATCTTAGGAAAACTCTCGAATCTTCAGAAATCTTAGGAAACCTCTTGAATCTCCACCAGCAGCTGCATTCTTAAATTTGATATACTTATCTCAACTGGTAGCCTCAACAGTCTTCCAAATTTAGTTTATGGTGAATTATGTAGTTAAGACTCCCCTTCCTCAAGTAAGCAAAACACAGGCTACATTTTGGCCTGAAATGCCACTAACTTCATGGCTTTTCCCCCAATCCTGACTCAGACTTGACTCTGGCTGTTGCAAACGACTGTAGGTCCCAGATGTGGTGACCTTGTATGGTCTAGAGTGTTTCAGGGCCACATCTTTGAAAAGATATGGGAAGCTGGACATGTGTCCAAGAATGCTCAGAACGTTTGTCTGGCCTTTTCTTAACTTACACAAAGACATCATGAAAGCATCTTGGTGCTGCTTAGAAAATAAAGCTGGAGGAGACAAAATTAGAATGATAAGTAAATTACCATCTATGGGTTAATTCAGAACCTGATAATTCATTTTACAAAAGACTTTGCCTGTTGCAGTGTCTTAAATAATCAGCTTTCTGAGTCCAGGAAATCAGATTCAATTTATAAAAATTCAATTTACAAACTGAATTAACAAAAAGCATGACATACCTGGAACTTTAAGGAAATTCTGGTGAGTTCCTATGTTGCTCTTTGGGTGGGAAGAGCATTGGCAGCCATGCCCTACTTTTTTGCCCTTCATTCCAGCTTTGTTTTTGAGTTTCTGGCCCAGGTACTCTTTGTTCTCATCAGGTGCTATGTATACCAGGTCTCATTCTCTGACAAGTGACAGAAAACCCAAAACAAAATTAATTAAGTTAAATAAAATGTGTCTGCTTACAAAACAGAAAGTTGCAGAATCAGGTGCGACTGGATTTAAGTTTCATTCAAAGCAAGGAAGACCGTTTTTTCTCTGCTCTGCTCTCCCATTGGCTGTATTGACACCATTCTCAGGCTCTTCTTGGTGACCTCTGCAAGCTTTGTGCTCTGATCTCTTAGCAAAAGATGGAGATTACAGTTCTCCAGCATTTCAACCTGTCCTGTGACACTCACTGTTTAAAAAAGCAAAAATAAAAACAGAAATTCACTCTGATTGGATCAGCACCAATCACATGCTAATTCTTGAACCAATCATTGTCCAGAAAGATTTGATGCACTGATTGGCTGGAATTTGAGAGAGAAGCCAACCCAAAGCCCTCAGGGTGGGAAAGGGCAGGCAGGGGCTGTTGCTGGGCAATTATGCCAAGACATTAAATGTTTTTATGTTGACTTGTACCTCCGTTGGAAAAGCTCAAAGAGGGATATGGCTTGCTCTCTTTCTCTCTGTCTCTGTTTCTTTCTCTCCTTTTTCTCCCCCATCCTTCTTTTTTCTTCTTTCTTTCCCTATTTCCTTCTTTCCTGCTTGTGCAACACTCTTGTTCTGTAAAAGGTGTACCTAAAAAGTGATGTTGGGGGAAAATAGAGGTTGTCCGGGGACCAAAGCTTCATGACTTCTAGCCAAGTAGGCCAGATGCTCCTCCCATTTTTTCTTACTCAGGGATCACCTATCACATCGCCAGGTCTCCCTTGAGAGGTTATTTATCCTGAGGTCCCCATGATTGAGAAGGCTGCTTCTTAGCCTGGTGGAGAGAGATGCAAGTCCTCAGCACCCAAGAAAATCCTATAGGAAATCAAAGAGACCTCATCTGGAAGCTCAGGCAGCCCTCCTCTGAGTACAGGAGGGTCACCTGGTTGGAAGAGATGGCTTTCTGAGCCCTGAGATTGAGAAGCAAAGCCTTCCCATGAGAGCCAGATGGGACCCTGCAGGCATCCAAATCAAGTCCCACCTGTCATCTGAGCTTCCACAGATTTTGTGACATCTTTTTTTTTCTACTTGAAGAAGATACCCACCATCTTCCTAAAACTATTGGTTCTGTGTCATTTATGAAACCTTAAACATAGCAGAAGTTACCTGTTATGCAGATGGGGACACTGGTGAGTGTGTGTGTGTGTGTGTGTGTGTGTGTGTGTGTGTGTGTGTAAAAGTACATGATTTGCCTTTCCACTCAGAGTCAAAGCAATCCTCCTGGCACACTTTCCCTTGTGTTTCACTCTTGGTTAATGTCCACCTCAGTCACTAGTTTCAGGTTTCTCTATACAGTGAGTGAAGCTGAATTATAAGGAGCAGACAGAGTGAAGGACAAAAAAAAGTGATGTAGAAACAATAGTGAGATGAATACTGCTGTGACTGAGAGAGCAACTCCAAAGGAAGTACCAACCAGTAGGGTAACATTTTATGGAAATGCAAATGGAATGACAAGGGCAGAGCAAGTGTGTTGGTCTAAGAGGTATCCCTTTTAAAGGAGGCAGCTTGCATGGTGGGACACTTATTCTGAGGTCCTGATGAGGGTCCAGCATGAAGCTCCTCCTGGCCTTGCTGCTGAGCTAGTTCAGGAATCATGCACCCAAGAACTGATCTCACCACCTACCATCTCAGCCACCACCCACCTACCTCACTAGCCCAGGTTCCCAGTGACATCATCCATTTCAAGAAATTCAAAGGTGGAGCTTCCTTGGAGACCCTGCAGATGGGGGAAGCACTGGCCAGAGTCCCCTGGGTAAAAAGTGACTGCCCACAGTGGCAGCTGGGGAGTGTGGTGAGGCAGGACCCTGGAGGTGGACGTTGGGTGGGCTCAAGGGAGGGAAATCTGCTGGAAGTTCAGCTACAGATTCTAACCTTGTTTAGTCAGGGCAGCAGAGCAGGGAGAAGTACTCCGGAGTTGGAGAAGAGGTACAAGGAGCCAGGACCAGCAGCGCCAGAGCCAGGGGAGGAGGATGGGGGTAAGAGAAATCCTGGGGGAAGGGCAAAGCGCCTGGGTCCCACGTTGAGGATGTGACCACAGACTACATTGCAGGAGTCTATCAGGACTGTCCCTGCTTCAGCAGGATTCAAGGGTCAGGTTTCAGCCATTGGCGAACACTAGGCTTCTTAGTATTGTACCCTCCAGCTTTAACCCTCACTCCCACCTGTAACGAGCACAGACCTGCAGGTCTCCTGCTGAGTCCCCCAAAGCCGGTGCGAGGAATGCAGAGAGCACGGACGCCGACAGGGGGCGCCGGTGAACTCCCCGCCGGAGTTGTCTGCTGGACTCAAGCAATAGGGTTTGGTCGCAGGTCTGTGGGTGGTCTTTACCTAGAGGGTGCTGACTACAGAAAACCTCAGGGTACCCCGAAGAGCATCCGCTGAGGCCCCCAAGGCCGCCTGGAGCGAGATCTTTCTCGCATGGATGCATGGGTTTCGTGACCAAGGGCATCTATGGCCTCCTGGCTTGGAAGGGCACCTGGCGCTGACCACTGTTCTGACCGACCCCCAGGTTACAACAGGACTCACTGCGGACTCCATGCCTTCCAAGGCCCTGCGGGCCAGCGGCTACAGGGTTAAAAGAAGCCCACCCACCCCCATTCTGTTGGGGAGGAAAAGTGCATTTTCTCCAAGTCCATATGGCCACTTCCTTTCTACCTGCTCTGTCCTGCTTGGCTCTTTGTCCAAGCTATCACTTATGAAGAATCACTTGACATAAAATAACAGGTTCAAAAGAAGACAGAGTATAATCAGTTGATCCACGAAGAATTGAAATAAAGAACACCCCACTGCTCCGGCTATCACTCCCATAGAGACAGTGATATCATTGATGTGATTGCGATGATAATTTCTATAAAAGGGGGAAAAAACTCTCTTTGTATTTAGGAATTTGCTCAAAAAAGAATTTCAGACATATCAGATTGGAAAATGTGGACTGAATTCCTAAACTTTTGGGGGAATAGGCAGGGGACTTTTGAAGAGTATCACTGCAGAGAAATGTGTGGATGCTAAGAAAGTAGCTGGTTGGGTTTAGGGAACCCTGTCCTTCCCTGACTTCCCAAATCCAGGAGTAGAAAAGAGAGAGACAGAGAAGGAGAAGGAGAGAAGAGAGAGGGAGCGGGAAGAGGGGAGGGGAACAGGGGAGAGTCAGAGGAGAGGGGGAGAGATGAATTCACAAGATCCAGGGTGTGGGCACTGGTATCCACCAACAGTGCACTGCACTTGGGGGAGCTGACCATCACATCCAGGTGCAAGGCCCGGTGTGTGCAAAGCAGCCGCCTCTGCCTCCAACCTGGCCCGCAGGCTGCCAGCTCACTCCTCCTGTGCAAAGTTTCTGTGCCTTGTCTCACTCTCAGACTGTTTGCAACTGAGCAGCTCTTGGGCTGGAAGGGATAGTGATCCAGAGGCTGTCGCACGCTTTTTCTGTACATTTGCTTTTGCTGCATTTTGGTACTGTGGTCAGTAACTCACCAGTGGGGAACTCACCTCCAGAGGGCTGGAACAAGTCTTACCTGAATCTCTTTTTAGTATCACTGTAACTCGGCATTTTGAATAATCAGTGTGTCTCCACTGGTTCTTAATCATGCACAACACAGGCCTCTGTCTCTTCTCTCCCTCTCTCTTCCTCCCTCCCTGCTTCTCTATCTCCTTTATTTATCAACTCTTTAGGATCTTGTCTTTCTGCTAGTAACATGCCTAGTGTCACATGCGAGCTTTTCTTTAAAACAAGCTCCTCATTGGTGTCTCTGGATACTTCTTTTATTATTATTACCCAATCTTTTTTTTTTTTTTTACCCATAATGACACCAGGATCATTATATAATCCCATAACAAAGAGGCTTTTGAGGCACCAGCTTTTGTCAACTCTAGGACAGAGAATCCATAATTGCATTATTCAGCTTTTTCCCCCCATTCTTTCAATCCCCCTCCCCTTGCTTCACAGAAACCCAACCTCATGCACCACTCAAATCTCCACCTTGTTACCTCGGCTTATATTGTTTACCAAAAAACGACTGCCTTGAGGACCAACCTTTCAAAGTTGCCTTTAAAAAGTTATTTTGTTTGATAATTAAGTCCTGGAGCCCACCGCGCGATGATTATTCTGGACCCACAAGGCAGAGAACCTGCGTGACGTTTTTCTCGAAGTTTAATTACCGTATGCTAATTTCCTTGCCTACTACGTGATTAATTAAAATCATATTTTCATAATCATTTGGCACTAGTATTGTTTTAGAATTATCATGATCTCCTAAATAGTGTCTGTAAATAAAGTCGCCTCTAATGGCAGGCGCGGGAGGCGAGGCTGAGGACCTCTTCGTGTTTGTATCGCGGCGATTGGCAACATAACTGCCTTATTTACATTAAATACGCCACAAGGTTACAGCGCGGATCAACGTCATTTGATCGCTGATGACTCCCTTAAACGCCCGGGCTGTGACTGATTCTCCGAGTCCCGCTGTCCACCGAGATTCACCCGGGAGTTTTTTTTTCCCCCCAGAAAAGAAACAGACTTTAAATAGTTTCAGGAGCAGGTAAGAATTACGCTTTTTCCTCTCCCCTTTTCCCTCTCTCTCGGCTCTCCCTCCGTGGCAATCTCTCTCTCCCTCTCGGCTGGATAAAAAATTCTTTAGTCAAAGGCAGGAATGCAAAGTAGTGACAAGCGAAGGGGCTGATATATGTCTCAGTAACGAGTCTGACAATCAGAATGTAGCTCTTGGAGAATAGATAGATTTTAATAAGTGTGTTTACATGAGCTCAAGGTCAGAAGCAAGCTGCGCTGTGTTAAATGGTTTCTTAGTTGCTAGACAGAGAGAAAAAATGGACGATCACACACCATTCTTTGTAGATTATTATATCAAGGGTTCAGTCTCTGGCTCATCAAAGCTAAATGCCGCAAGACCTATCTAGTTGCTGTGAATTATGCCAGGGCGACAATGGAGAGCGTTTTTAATGGTACAATGCATTTCACCTACCAGATAGGGGGAGGCCGAGCCGGAGATGGGGATGTCTACTGGGGATGGGTGATGAGTATCAATGAACGGGGCGATTCTGAAAAGAGGCAGATGAAAATCGAGCCTGCCCTGCCCGGGCTGGGCTGGGAACAGTTCGCAGGGCTCTGCCGAGTGGGCGAGCGAGGCGCGCGAGCTGGGCGCCCGTCCCCCCTCAGCCCCGGAAAATGATCAAGTCAATCATGTGGACATGTTTCATTATTCATTGAACACAATCTTTTACAACGCTCCGTTTACGTGCCCGAGTTTGCTCCCGACGCCCGCGTTTCAATGTTTAAGGTAAGGAAAACAAAGGTGGGGGGAGGATCGCGGGGCGCGGCGGGTGGGGGGGCTCGGGGGGCGCGGCGGGTGGGGGGCGGCCCCGGCGTCCGGTAGGTGGCAAAGTGAGTTTGGACTCCTGGCGTGGCCCCGTCCCCTCCCCTCCCCCCTCGGCAAGGCCTGCCGCCCGGTTCCTTCTCGCCCCACGCGATTAAAAAATACAGTCTAATTAAATATCCGTGGCTGTGACGTTGGCGAGAGAAGCTGTCAGCGGGGGTAAAAAAGAGGAGGAAAAAAAAAAAACCAGAACGGGAAAGCGGCGCGGCCGGGCATCGCATGGCGCTAGAGAACTTCCGCGGCGGGCGGGCGGGCGGGCGAGCGGACCCGCGTCCGGCCGTCGCCTTCCCCGCCCGCGGTCCCGGGACCGTTACTTTGAAAAGCAGTCTTGGGGCCTCGCGCCGTGCGCGCCTGCGGGGACCCCGCGCCCAGCTCCGGCCCGGCCTGCGCCCCCGCCCGCGCGCGCCCCGCCAGCGGCGCTCAGACCCCGGAAACTTTCACCGGGGTCTGGGGGTGCGGAGGGGGCCCCGCACCGGAGGGGGAGGCCGGGCCCGCGGAAACTTCTGCTCAAGTGACTTTCCCCATTTTCGCCCCCGCCTGGGCTGGGGTCCCCGCGCTCTCCTTTGCCCCTCGCGGCGGCTCGCGGTGGGATCCCGGCCCCTCTGCCTGGGAGACAGAGGGTAATTTGTAACCCCGCTTTCCTTCTTTTTTAAAATCAAAGTTAGCCGCTGCTTACGGTGTGTCAAACTTGCGGGCGCCGAGGGCCGCTGAGACCTGCCATTTTGTGCTTTCATCGGCCTCCTGCGCCCCGGGAGCCTGGCGAGGCCGAGGCTCAGGCCGAGGTGCACGGGGGTCCGAACCCGCGACCCCCGCGAAGGCCACGGTGCCTGCGAGCTGGGGCGGCGCCCGCAGCACCTGCCCTGGCGGCTCTGGCCCTGGGGACGCGGGGGGGGGGGAGGGCTAAATAAATAAATAAAGAAATAAGTAACAGGTTATGGAAGGAACTGATCCGGTCAGTCGGGGCTGGAGAAATGAGGCCAATCAGAGCAGGGAGTGCGGCGGTAGGGGGCTGTGAAAGGCGGGGAGAGCGAAGGGGTGGGGGCGTCTGGCGAGAGTGCAATTTGGGGGACGCAAGAGGCGAGAATGGTCGTCGTTAATAAGCCTTTCTGTTTGCTTTGAGGCATTATTTTTTGAAGATGACTTAAAACAGTCGTAGGCGGGAGTCGGGATTTATTTTAGGCATAAATAAAAATAAAATAAAAATAAGGGGGGAGGGTCTTCTTCGATGAGCAGGAAAGTGTTCAGCTCTCTATGCGCCCATCTGTTGCAGCTTTGCAAATAATTTAAAATACAGATATCTCTATATAGATGGATGTATGGGAAGTGAAGGAAGCTGGAAAGACAAACGCCTGGGAAGTTTGCAAAAGAAAGAAAAGGGGATGCGGCGGAAAGAGAGCCGTGTTCGCCTCCCCCTTAACTCCGAGGAGGAAACTCCTGCGGGGCTTTCTTTGGGGACAGGTGGAAAGTTACCCCCCCCCCCGCGCCCGCCTTTTCACTCCTGCGATGTGAGTCCTTCCACTGTCCGTCTCTTGGCGAGCTTGTACCCAATCCCTGAGTTAGGAGGAGAGCTGGGAAGAGGAAGACGGAGTGCAGGGTTGAGGCTGACCTGGGTAGCAGCAAAGGCCCGGGTCTGGGGGCAAGGAGGAGCAGGGCGGGGTCCCAGCCCCGCGAGCTGGTGGCAGCGGTGGTGGCCGGGTTTTGTTTGCCGGATATTGTTATGTCTAACGGGTGCCTCGCAGGAGACGTGATTTGTCAGCCGCTTCAGTTTTCACTTTAGCAGAAAATACAGCGGCTGCGCGCTGTCCTGGCCTGCGGGCTCGCGCGCCGGGTGCGTCCGGGGCCTCCATGTGCGCGCGGGCGGGAGCGGCGGCCAGCGGGGCACCGGCCAGGGGCGAGCGTGCCGGGCGGGGTGAGTGCGCGCGCGGTGCCGGCCTCCGGCTGCTTCTGCGCCTTCTCCCGGCAGCCGCGGCCGCTTTCGCCGCCGTGCAGTTTAGCAGAAATCCGACAGGGGCCGCGTTTGCTGAGCGCATCCGGCCGCCAGGCAGCCTGAGCGGGCCGCCGGGCCGGGCTGGTCGTTCACAGACGCTTGGGAGGGGGCTGCAGGGGGAAGAAGATGGGGAGGGGCGCGGGAAGCGATCCTGGCCCGAGTGAGCGCCTCCGCCCCGTTTCTAGTGTCCCCTGTGTCCCCCCGCGAGTTGGGCAGCTCCGCGCGCCCAGGCCTTGGCGCCCAGTCCCCAGCCAGGGCTTAGGTGAACTTGGGGCGGGGTGCGCGCGCGCGTGTCTGTGTGTGGAGGGGGAGGATAGACTGGGAACGCACTGTTTTCTTTCCCAGTTTGTTATTAGCAACTGGATTTTTACTTTAAGACCGGCTTTGCTCACTGCTGGGGTTGGGAGGGGGCGATCTTTTCCCATCACTCACATCTTTGTTCATTGTTCACTGAGTGGAAGGCAGGCGACTTAAAGAGACGAAAGAGAGAAAAAGGAGGGCGAGCAAGAGAGAGGAAAGGCCGGGGGGTGGCGAGAAGAGGGAAGGAGGCGAGCAGTGGGGAGGGGCCCCCGCCCCCGACCGGGTCGGGTTTGATGGCGAAATAGTAAACCTACACACGGAGGGTCGCCAGGAAAGTGGACATTACCGCTTTAATTAACTTCGAGATGCTCCGGCGGCGGGACCTGGCGTAGCCGTGACGCGCCCCCATAAATCTGCCCGGCCCGGGGTTGCTCGGAGAACTCGTACAGTAGCGGCGTCAGATCCAACGCGCGCCTCCTAGTCCAGAGTCCATTTGCATAATTGGATTTTTTTTTTTTTTGCCTCTTTCTTCTTCCCCGAAACTTGTTTGAAAACCCCAGTGAAAACCGCGACGACCTGCGCACTCAAAAGCAAGTGCCAAGTAAGTGCCCTGCGGTGGCCTCAGCGTGCCCCGAGGTCAGCGCGCAGAGCCGGCGAGCGAGTTGCCGGGAGCGGCGCGCGGCAGCCCGGCCTCGGGTGAGAGCAGCCAGCCGGCGGGAGCACTGCGTCCGCGGGCTCCCGAGCTGCCCGGCCCGAGGCTCGCAGAACTTTTCCCCTTTCTGTCTCCCGACTTTTCGGGCCAGGTGAGGTGCTAGGGCCGCCAGAGTACCTGTAGCGAGCCTGGAGAGGCGATCTTCGGGACGCTGAGGAGTTGTGCATCTCGGCTCGGGGGCGAGTTTCGGTCCGCGCCGCCGCCGCCGCCGGGGAGACTGAGCTGTGAGCTAGCAAGCGGGCCGGCTGCTCATCGCCGCGCCGCGTCGCGGATGCAGCTTGTCGCCAAATGCCTCCCCCATTATTCTAAGGTTTGTGTCTCCGTGCGTGCGTGTGCGTGTGCGTGTGCGTGTGTGTGTGTGTGTGTGTGTGTGTGTGTGTGCATGGGTTCAACTGCTTTAAAAGAAAAGCAACCAAAACAGGAGCAGGAAAGGCTTTCCCTTTAGCTTGCCCTCCTTCCCCCAGCGTCATCTATTTCTGTTGCTCGAAGGAGAGAGTGCAGAGCTTCTGCTGAAGACAGGTCACCACCAGATTGACTATTTCGGTGGAAATACATACATTTTACAGCCAAGATGTAGCTGCATTCATAAAACGCCCGCTCTTGCCTGATGAGGAAAATGGTTTTACAGTCTCTCAGATTATTAAAATATACATTATTATTTACAGTGTGCAGAACCTGGCGGGGGAGTCGATTGCTTAGGGAAAGACTGTAACCCTAGTTCCTGTTTGCGTGCTGGGGGCTGGGCCCACCGTCGGGCTTGGAAGGGGCCTTGGACTCAGCTTTCAGCCAAGGGAGTCGCAGGGGGGCGCCCCCAGCAGCCCTCTGGCCTGGGCTCAGAGAGAGCCTAGGGCTTCTGGTTGAAGGCTGCTTTAGTTATGATGTCATTCTGATAGCAGAGTGCAAATGTCTCCTGATTCCACCATTAACCGCCTGGCTGATTTGCTTGGTAATGATAGCGCTGACGTCCAGCTCCCTGGCAAATGCAGGACTGCGGAGCCCTAAGAATTAACTTTTTCCCCCAAGAGGAGGGAGCGAGCTGTAAGCAGTATCCCACTGAACCCCAACCATCCATCGGAGGACTCTTTCTGCCTGCCTTTGGGATGACAGGCCCCTGGGCTGAGGGGCCTCTGTTTTTCCAAAGTTTGGAAAACTTTTAGAAGGCTTTCATTTTCAAAATACCCTCAATTTAGTAAAACTGCCATCTGACTGTGACGGGGCAGAGATGTTTGATCTGACGGATGGCCGGACTCTGGACTCTGTAGCCATCACAGGGAAGAAGAGACTGTGACATTGGTTTCCTATCTTCAACTCAGTAACTGTGACTTTATGTTAATATCCCTGAAAGTAAACTGGTTTCAGTGTTGATTTTAAAATAGTGTACAATGATTTAAGATTTCTTTTGATTTACTGTTCAAATGAAATTTGCATAAATGTGATGAAAATGAACTTAACATCTGGGCATATGAAAAAAGGTTAGTACCTCATATGTCATCTGCAGAGAAAGTCTTTAAAATGCTTTCACCCTAAACTGGGTTTGGAGGAAGCAGTTCCTGGAGACATAAATGGTAATTATGGAAAACCTGGAGAAAACACTTTCAATAAATTTGCATTCTCTTGGACCAGTGCTCTGAAAACCCATCTTGTTCTATGCCTGGAGTGCTTAACTTCTGAGCAGGCTTGAGATCCTTACAACTCAGCAACTTAACTGCTGGCCAGGGCTGTCTTCACGGAAGACTTAGGGCAGGCATCCAGCAGTGGTCACGCTTTGCTGGTCCAAGCCGGAGGCCAATTGCCCCCATCATGGAATAGGACATGGAGGTGGCCAGAAGGTGCAGCCCTACTAATCACAGTTGCCCATCGGGTGCTCAAGGCAGTGCTGAGATGTGGAATTGTTGCCTGCTGAGCCCCCAAAAGCTGGCTGATTAGGTTGGCTACTCTGCCTTAGGTAATCGAATACATTTTCATTGGTTCAGACCTATAAAATCCACAAGCTCGTTCAAGTGAACTCTGAACTGAACCTCACTCTTTGAGCAAGACAGGCTTATCTCTGGCATCAAGAAATCAGCTAAACAGCCTTCCCCAAATGTGGTTGCCTTTTGCTCAGAAGTTGGCTATGAATGGCACAGGTGTTTTTAAAGTGCTTTGAATGGAAGGAGGGAAAAAAAGACAGCAATGATGCTCATGAGAATATAGATGAACTTATTTTTTTTTTAAGAAAAGGATCATAAAGAAAGAAAGCAAATAGATTTATTTTTCCAGTTTGAATGAGGACAATTATAGCTTTTTAACATCTTTGGATTTAGTGCTTTTAATAAGCCTTTTAAGTAAGCTGAAATATCAGCTTGCATTTTGTTCTCAACATTATTTAAAGTGATTCTTGATGCAAATTTAAAAACAGACATGAGTCTTCTGTAGGTCAACTTTTGTTCATGCTAGTGCCCGAAACCTTCCTCTTACCCTCATAGCACATGTATTCAAGACCCTGAGCTAATGGTTGCCCAGTCCTGCCGGATCCTATTTCTGCGTGAGGGCTTCGTTTTGGGTGAGCTGGTGTTTGGAATCACTCACATTGCTGAGATGCCTCTACTAGTAGGAGCTTGTGAGCTGAGGGGTTTCCTTTCCACGCTTCCTCTGCCTTCCCATGGCCCCTCCAAGGTCAGCTATGTCAGGGAAGGGCTGGGGCTGCAGGGGGACAGGAGGCAAAAGAGCAGGTCCTGAGGGAGGTGGGGGATGGAGGGCAGCTGGGCACACACAGGTGTCTTAGAGACACCTTAGAGAGAGGCCTATAGGCAAGAGCAGGGATTGGTTGCTTAGGTCTTGATCTTTAGGCTGCTATGATGCTCCCTTGAGTGTCTTGATGGGGGACACAGCTAGTTGTGTAGTCAGAATGGCCTAAGCCAGAAAATGGTTCACTGGGATGTCTGTGGTAGTGACAGTTGCGTGTGTCTGTGTTTGTGCCTGCACATAATGAGGGAGGGTGTTGCCTGCTAGACACACCTGTTCCGAGATGATTTCCTTTTCATCCACAATTACACAACCCACAAGAGATTAGAGTGTCTGCAAGTGTGCGAGTGAGGTGGAGGGCTTAGTGCAGAAATCAGTGGGAAGTATGAGAAAGTGCAAGGAGACAAATCCTCAGGACACAGGCCGCCTTTCTCAGATCCGGGTTTATTTTTCCTAGTGAAGGCAGGTGTAGCTAGAAGCCACCTCAGGAAGGTGGACTAGCAGCAAGCCACCTACCTCAGGCCGTGACAGGGCTGGGTGTGGTGAGGCCTTCTGTGGCTAGTTAGTCTCATCAACAGGCTTCTGTTGACTGTCTGCTGTGGGGCAGCACTGTGCAGCTGGCAGCAGCTGCCTCTGTTGGCTGCTTGAGGATCTTCTCTCACTGTACACAGTCGTATAGCCGGGCATGGTGGTGCATGCCTGTAGTCCGGCACTCTGTGAGGCAGAGGCAGGAGGATCCTAAGCTTGAACCCAGCTAGAGCAACTTAGTGACACAGCAAGACTGTCTCCAGATACAAAATAAAAAAGGGCTGGCTATGTAGCTCAGTGTGAAGGCCCTAGGTTCACTTAGTACTACACACACAAAGTCCTGATAAATCGCTGGTCTTTTGCTTACATTAGGATAATTTAGAGTATAGCAATACTTTGCTTTCCTCATCCTCTGGGCTTGCTGGAGATGCCTCTGGAAATAAAGATCCTGTCTATTCTCCCAAAGAGACAAGATTCAGATTTGAGTGAGATTTTGGGGAAATCTTCCTAGAGCAACCCCGGCATCATTTCTCCAGACTGGGGCCTCTCATTCCTCTTGGAGGAGTCTGTCCTTTGCCTAGTCGGGAGGTTGGCAGCATCCCTGCCCTCTACCCACTTGATGCCAGCAGCACCCTCCCAGTTATGATAATCAAAAATGTCCCTAGGCACTTCTGAATATTTCCCCAGATGGGGGCACGCAGGCTCACTTCCCATTCTTTTATGTTCCAGGCCTTGTCCTGGGCCTCTCAAAAGGGACAGGTGAATGTTCTCACCCTCAGGGAGTCCACAGGCTGGTGGGAGACAGATATGTCCCAGAGCCCTGCAAGGCCAGAAGGTTGATCCTTGCGCCAAATAGGGGGAAACCTCCAAGGGCTGGGAGGAAACAGAAATTTCACAGTGGATTAATAAATGGGGTACAGAATTTCTGGAGCAAAGGTGTAGGGGTCAAATGATTTTTAAAATATTAATTACTATACATCCTAAAAATGGCCCTGTGGCTGGGAGCTGTGTCTCTGGGCCACAACCTGTGACATGTCAACCAAGTACTCGAAAGTGACAGTTCTGAGACCGGGCACTCTGCTTGCAGGATACTAAGAGCTGTTTAGTTTTGAGCTCTTACCCATGTAGAAAGCTTTCAGTGCTTTGGGACTTGCCTATTAGGGCAGCTGCCATATTTGTCCTGAGTTTTTGGAGTGGATACAAGGCAATGAGCAAGGTAGGGGTGTTGGCCTGAGATCAGCCCCCTCCCTCTGCCTCCAGAAGTGGGTGCTCATCCATGACTGCTGCAGAGCATGTCCCCAGCTCATGCTCAGCTCCCCTCTCTGCACTGGCAATGGTGAGGGAGCAAAGGTCGACTGCCAGGGCGGCCCAGCCCTCCCTGAGGAGTGCCAGAGCCTCCAGGTGGGCAGTGGCAGCAGGGAGGTGATGCAGATGCTTTGAAGGTATTCAGAAATGCAGGAAGGAAAATCAGCTCATAAGGTCTCCCCCTCCTCTCCTTGCTTATTCTTAGGCTGTGGCTTTACAATGAGAAAATTAAGTGCCATTTTGACACAGGAAAAATGATCACCGTAGGCTTGAGCTGACATTAGCCTGAAAGTTTTCTATCAAGGCATTATGGCTTTGATTATCTGAGCCATGTTTAGTTGGGTCTTTGATTACCAGGGTGGGTTTGTCTCCTGGGGAAATGAGATCCTGTCCCTCCCATCCCTGCTGGGTCTTCAGCCAAGATCTGGTCTCCCAGACCCCTGGACTTCCCCAGACCGTACCCTGTCTGTTCATCCCTTTGTAACTATCGGCCTCTCATATTTTTTTTTTTAGCCTTTTTGTTACTTAATTTCCAAATCCCTCTCTCTCTCTCTCTCTCTCTCTCTCTCTCTCTCTCCCTCCTCTATGTGAGTTGTAAAAGTCACTCATAGATTTCCCAAAAATCAAGATTAATCACAGAATTGCCCATTCAGCCTTAGTTATAATGATGTTCTCATTTGCATTTCTGA